TCATGAGCTGACATTGGTTAGAGAACCATTGGAAAGCCTGGGAGCACTGGACAGCTGTTTCATCGTAGTTTTGGACTCTTCAGCAGTACGCACCCATCGGGGTTGGAACCCAGGACCTTCTGGTTACAAGGCGAGCCAGCTCGTAGACCATTAAGCCACTGGGACCCGATCCAATGACCCATGAATTCTAACTTCTGCCTATTCACGATATAGCGCAACCGCTAGTCAATGCCTTCGGCGAGTATTTGTCCTCACACCCTACCTGCTGCACCCTACTGCTAGATAACTAATTGTTTATTTAAGTGAAGTGACTGAACCGCGATCCATTATAAACTTCATTTTAGTCTCTCATATAGCAGAGGACAGAGTCACAAACCAGCTGATTGCTGCAGACATCAGGTGTTATCGTATTGTTGTGTTTGGGCTGTCCTAAGTTGTTTTTAGTGGTTTCATCGAAAGAAATGCATTTTAAATACCGTATTTTAACAGAAAAACGTGTAAAAGGTGAGAAAAACAGTTGTTTTCGGTGTGTTGACAAAATGGTGTCTTTTGACCGAATTGACATGCTGAGGTGCAGACGAAATATAAGAATTCCTTGTAAAATGTCAATTATGATAGTAAATACCAAATAATTCCCATTATTGGAACACGTTTTAAGTAAATGATGTGGAAGAGTGCTGAATATCAGGGTAATTATGATTTCATGATGCTTACAAAAATTCAGTTAGAAAGGAAAACGAGATGATTAATTTGCGAGACAACGGCGAAGAGACAGTCATTTAATTGGAATGTACTGTGTTTCAAGTCTTTTATTCAACTCATAGTTTCTTGGCTGAAGTTTTGTCTTTTTATTTTCCAGATTATGGTCTTCACTTCCGCAGTCATTAAGTACATTTGGACATTGTAATGAAATTAAAACGCATAACATGTTTATGAATGGTGAAGTATTCCTGATATTATGAATGCATTTATTGAAATAAATATCTTTTTAAAGTTTTCACTCTGTTCATACATTAATAATACTTACTATTTCTCGAGTTGAAAAGTGACGCCATTTTAGAAAACGTATTATGCGTAAAATGACATAATAATAATGATAATAATAATAATTTATATTTCGTATAAACTGGTGTTTACAAGAAATGCATGCCATTTTTACAAGCACGGTCAGTATTGTTATAAATTGCAATCCTGAAGTATCATAAACTAATACTTTTCCAAAAGTTTAAATTGTTGAATTATCGTACAAGCAATCAGAACAGATTCTTATAAATGTCAAATTCTAGACCCTTCACCATCGAAGTTGAGTGACAACCCAAACTTCGTTCCGTTTCATTCTGATAGTTATGGTCAACCAGCGAAAAGCATATATTTGGGTAAGTGCTATGCCACCACGCTATTAAAAGCTATTTCCGGAAGAGGAGAACGTCATGGAAAACTGCAAAATGGCATAAAATACAATTAGGGATTTTCTCTGGTTGAATTCAGGCATGATGGTTTACTATTATTGCCTTTGAGTAATTGCTTCCGCTAGTAAACCATAGACAGACGATATGCACAACAAAAGCCTACCTAACAAGTTGCAATATTTTATGTCAACAAAGTAATCAATGAAGTCGAGTGACGTGGTCAACTAATACATAAGTCTGAGTGTTGATGTGATCATGTAAGAGCCTACTGATACGAAATGATAACACAAGAAGAGTAATGAGGCTATCTCTTTATTACCTAATGATTTCCTTTGAGACAGTGGTGTTAAACGCAACTTAAGAATAATAGACTTCGTGTGATAAACAGGATATACGTTTCTTAGTGTACGTATGGAACCTAGGTTTGCCAGGTTATGTTTCGTAATTGCAGTGCAAACACACATTCAACGGATATTTTCCTAGCGATATTGAATACTAATATTATACGCAACTGGATTAAAAGTAATTGAAACACTTCACGCAAGGCTTGATGACGCATTGAGGAAATAATAGCGGTTTAAGACTGACGCATCTCATATAAGTAATACTACGTCGCCTATCATTCTCGTTAACTATGCAGTGTCCTAAAAATGATGAGTAAGGGGGAAAAAGGTAATCGACACAAAAGCATATATTTGCAACGAAAAAATAATTCCGTATGAAGGAGTACATATCTACATTCGAAAGAGTTAATAACAATCCAGTGAAAAGAATCACACTTGTTGAGTTTTATAGCTGCGTCATAGTCGTCATAAAGTCTACTAATCTCTCTATCCACAATATCTGTATCAGTATGCCTCCGTCAGTAGTGATGTTGGACCAGTCTTTGCAGTTTTCGTCACCACCGCATCCGTTCGGATAAACAGAGTGTGATCTTTTCAAGCAAATATTGAGATTGTATTCCTTCGAATACCTTCGGCAACAATGAGAAATATCTGAGGATGTATACATATCAGGTGAATTGACCTTACCTCTGATGAACATTTCCTCATCTTAGCCACACTGAATATGTAAATGAGGGAGGGAACCATCATAGATTTGGTGAAATTCTATATAGTCGTCCATATATTCCATGATAAATTTGATGAATTGTGGAACTTCCAAAACATCTCTTACACTTTCTCTTCTGTTAAAAGCAAATTTCACACAAGTGACTAAATTATCCATCCGTTACAACCAATTGAAAGAGATCAAATCCTCAAACTTTATACTTCTTTGATTAAGTTACCCAGTAATATTCTTCCTATTATTATTATTATTACTATTATTATTATTGTTCCTATTGTTTAGAGTTGCCTATTCTTCTTGTAAGTGGATCCAATGTTTATCACATCTGTGAAATTTATACATGCATTAACTTGTTCCCTTAAGCTGAAAAACATAATTTCTATCATATTTTATTATTGCTTTTCAAAGCCCGCCTCAGTAACGTGCGGCACATATTAGCTGCAACGCTTACGCAAACGAAAATCTACCAATCACAATGTATATTAGTGACCTTCAAGTGCTCGACGTCTCCGTAAGCCATTTGTACTGCTATCCTCTGTCCTCTCATATCGCTTTCCGTAGAGGCGGCCTGCTCAGAACTTGGGCCACCAAAAACTCCCACCTGTCTATTCCATGTATTATCTCTCGTCTGCTTTGTTTTAATCGATTAAAATATGACCTCTGATGGTATTACCTAGTTTCGTAGGTGTTTAAAATGTTTGCAAACTAAACTTGAGAAAAGACCTGATTGTGGGTGTACTCACATGTTATTATTGACGAGCAAAATATTCGCGCCTACCGTTTTGCATGACTGATTTTGTATTTTAGAAAGGCTATTAATTACTGAGAAATATATACATCCAGCTGAAGAGTCTGAAAGCGGACCAAATGCACGTTGTGGATTTTATTGCTAGTCACCGTCTGTCAGATTACATCATGTCCACTTGAAGACACTGTCATATTATTCATATAAAGAGTCGACTTGACAACAAATAGGGAGTATTTCATCCCAGTAAACAACTATTGTGGTGAGAGCTGTCTACTAGCCAAATTGGTAGACAGTAATTGACGTCAATATTTACGTTCCCAAGATTTGTTGTGAGAAAATGTGAACAAAGATTGATTCAAAACCGACCGCAGCAGACTTTGCGTAGGCGGATACAGTTAACATATAGAGGATATGACATTCAAGAAACAGTCACAAAGAGATGAAAGATTAACTTTACGTGAGAAACAAACAATCGGAAGACTGTGTTTGTTTACTTAAATACCCATAGTAATGTACATGAAAATATATAAATATGCGTTGATTTCCTTAATAAATGATCTGTTGCCTGACTCTTACCTTCTGTCGTTACACTATCAATAAGCAATTGATAATGCTTTCCCTTACAACTATACAGTTTAAATAATATGATCACAATGTTTTGTGTGATCCGTATCTGATCTCGTAAGGGATTATACATTCATGCCACTGTTAGAGTGAAACTATCTTTTCTAAGAACATTGAATTTATCACTCAAGTATCTATGATCATGCGAAGGCATTGCTGTCAATTTCTCAGGCTGTTGATTCCATAATCTTACAAGTTGCTGAATTTCTCTCAGAAGAGAGGTTTTTTTATTCCTTTGCGTTCTGAATGGAACATAGGACATTTAAGTTTCACTAGCGATACTGCAGCAGCTGTTGTTTTCAGGATGGAATTGCTAACCCCAACCTCAGCCTACCCTCCTTTCTGGACTTAAGGATGGCAAGTCGAAAATAGGTGAGGTTTAACAATCTGTCGTCGGGAAATCGAATCCCGACCACCCATGAAACTAGCTGATGAGCATTCTGTTGGTGGAATCACCGACGCATTAAAAAACAACAACAATTGATAATAGGCATTCGCTTTTACTTAATTGATTCTGTATTAGAATGATTTTTTCAAATTAAAAAATAATTCAATAGTGACAAAAAAGTGAAAGATAGAGATAAACAAAATTATAAATATACAATGTAAATATCATAAAAATGTTGAAGCAGGATTAAGTTTTCTAGTTTATTTTTTTCCAATGACGTTCGCCTTATTCATTTTTATCACTTTATACGCATGTTAGTATGTTTGTATTTCAACAGAATTTGAATTCATTGATTCACCTGATAAACGCGATTCAATAGATAATATTCACTGTCACTTTTGATTTGTGCGTATTTTATTACTGAATAAAATTGTCAGTAGTATGGCTGAGTACGGTGTAAAATACTGTGCAACTGGGTCAAAATTATAACAGCAAAGAAGGTAATTTTCTCTGTCATAAGCAGCTGTACACGAAAATGTATAAGCTTCCGTAATAATGTCAGTGGAATGAAAAACAAAGTATAAATTTAGTTGAATAATTGGATGTATCCATTGGGGGGGGGGGATTATGCTTATCGGTGTGTTTTTGAGGTCCGCGGGGGGGAGGGCAGTTGTATGGGCTGGTCGGTCTGTTTGTTGTTCTGTTCTTTATGAATAATGGGCTTCCTGACCAAGATGAATAAAAAATTCCACTGAATCCCTACTTTGGTGACCACAACGATTACATAAATACGGGTCGGAATGACTATGATATCCCATATGAATATCATATAAAGTACGTTGTCGAAAACGTATTTCACAGAATCGACATTCATAAGTGAAATCTAATTTATCTTTATGGCTATTATTATTATTACTACTACTAGCAGCCGAGTGTGAAACATCCATTGATGATGTTGAAAACCTGATAGCTGTTGGCCACTTTTTATTGCATCCTTCATCACTCTGTAGTGTTTTCGGTATTGCTTGAGGAATTTTCTCATCAGACTCAAATGTTTGCGAAAGGCATTTATCGACGTACATATTCTTTTTGTGGCATGATGCTGAGGACAGGTCTAAAGCCAGTTCGTGAGAATCATTTAAGCTATGATATGGAACAGTAGTCATGCCTTCTTCTGAATACTGCTTCTCCATCAAGGTGTCTTTCTCCGTCTGTAATCTATTTTGATTTAATGTTGTAAGGATAGTTGGTGTGGTAGACGACGACAGTGTTGGCATTGTTGATGCTCTGATTTGATCATTTTGCAGTTTAGAAGCATTTGTATTCACTTGTGAATTTGTTGGCAATGTTGTTGCTGTTGGTGAATAATTATTAGACATTTCATTAAATATTGAATGCTCTTTACACTGTGATGATATTGACGGGGATCCAAGTTGAATAGATGATATCTCTGTATGCGATTCATTCGACAATTTTAAACTATCTGACGAACATATGGGATTAGATGTCATGAAATTAACACGATCTGATTGATCTGAAGAAAGTAGACGATTTCGATTGAAATCATTACACTGCATAGCAGCCATAAAAGCTACTACTGAAGAATAAGCAGAAACGGAATAGTTTAAAAGGGGATCTTGATTCATTGGCATACACTGGCCAGTAACTAGTCCATCTGACAAGCACTCATTTGAATTAGAAGCATAATTTGTAATTAAGTGACTATGATTAGAGTTAATCTCATTGTTTAAAGGTTGAGCGACAGATACCGACTGTGATATCATAGGCATTATTACTGGTTCTGTGTGATCAATTGGAAGATGATTTGATCCTGTGTAAGCTGGAAACAGATTAGGTGATGTACTTAAAGTTGAATTAGGGAATTCTGTCTTGACATATGCTGGATATTCAGATGTCGCTTCACTTACAGGTGCAGTAGTCATGCTTTCTCCTTGACATTCAATCTTATTCGAATGTACACATTGATGAACAGATGAATATTTCAGTGCACCTTTAGACGACGATGATCCTTTCAACTTGTGTCGTGTTGATTCGGATGAATTGAAATGTTTAACGTTTAACTTGGAATTAGCATGTTTACTAATACTCGGTCCACGTTTAATATTCATCACTTCTATTGTATTATCATATTGTGGTAGACTACCGTCAGGATTTAACACTACAGCTGGACGATGTTCATGTTTTGATAAATGCAGTTTTAAACTATGACAATATTTTGTTGCATAGTTACAATTACCACAACGATACGGATAAATATTTGAATGTGATTTCATATGACTGTTAAGCATCGATTTATTGACGCATTCATAATTACATTTTGTACATTTATAGGGCTTTGATCCAATATGATTACGCATATGATATTCTAAATGATGCTTATATTCTGTTATAAAACAGCATAAATGACATTCTAAACGTTTATCTTCTTTAATATGAATACGTAAATGGCGCCAGAATTCTTCCTGTTAATTAAAACGAACAAGTGATTTTTTGTTAAAAACACTTAATATACAAAGGGTAAATACAACATACAGAGAAAAAGAAATTTCATATACATTGAATTTTGACTGAATGATTAGTGAACATGTTGTTCCGTACAAAGGAATTAATCTAGCCGTAGGAAATGTCTCAACAATGTTGTCATCTTTAAATTATTAGGTGAATGAATGCAGGTTTCTGGTTTTCCTTTACTTTTGCCTTTTTTCCATGCCTGAAGATAAATCACTGAGGATAACCAATGTTTTGTAGACACTTTTCTATAATCTACAAGGCCTCTTTCATTTTGTTCTTGTTCTCCTACACTGCTGATTGCTTGATATGGGTAGTCAGATACTACTCACATGAATTAGTAGAGCTTGACAACCATATCATAGAGGTGATGTAAACACCTTGACTTGTCTTGGAGCCGAGAGCATTTATGGTGTATCCGGGTTTCTATATATAGTCCATGGAGGCGAATCAATCCAAACCACATTGAACTGTGTAAATTGTGATCACAGTGATTTCAGTTTAATATAGTAATTCATCTATCTTAGTACTGTATGTAGTAGAGTTTTAAGATGCACTGAAATCAGTGTATGCAACGTTGGGTAATCACTCACAATTTTCTGCACTGAATTTAAATTTGATAATGAGTAGATCTTAAAGATCCTGAACACGGAATAAATATTTAAGATTTATTCGTAAAATGGTTATAGATGATGGTCAGATAATCTGAGATAGTTGTGGAGATTAGCAAAGTACTCTCCATGTTATTGATGATGAATGAGGGTAAAATGAAAATCTTGGTGGTGGTGGTGGTGATTACCCATTTCGAATCAATATTCTCCGGACTACTGGCCGAGGTACTCTTCTGTACCGACTAAGCTGTTAGAGACCAAGCTGGTGCCTAGATCAATATTTCACTACCATCGCCAGGGCTTATACCCAGTCGATACTATGTATCATGGCTTGTTCGGCAGATAGATGTCAGACTTCAGCTGTAGAGTACTCGACTAATAATCTAGTGGCCAACGCTTCGAACCTTCCATTAACCTAAGTCTTCAGTTTTCCTCTCAGGCATCATCAACCGCAGAAACAGGCAATTCACCTTAAACCTGTAAATCAAGACAAGTTCAAAACAGACTTTCTGGAGGACAGATGGATGAAATTAGGTTTCGTGGTAGCTAGCACTCTTCAAAAATGAGTCCGTTACAGTCCTATAAGAGGAAAGCTGTCGGACCGGATAAATCAATTGAAATATCCCTAACTGAAGGAGTGCGTAAAACAGGTTCGGATTTCCTGAAGTGAGTCAGTTCCATTCTGTTGGCTCCAGACAAACTTTGCAAACGACTTCGAACATGCACGAAACCTTAGTCAAGATGAGCTTCCTACTGGCTGACTCCATATATCAAACATTAAATGTGTCTGAGAATCTTTTTAAGCATTTCGGAAATTCAAATATTTTCTTGATATGATGTGTAATTTTTATACTGTTGAAAGATTTTCATGATACAGTTTTATTCATAACAATTAGTTTCCTTTATGGATTTAGACAAAGGTTGTAGTCATGACTATTTTATACTTATCAGCGAAACTACTTATTAGTAGTATAAATACATAAAGAAAATATTTTTCTACTTATTATTTGTGGGATAATCGAAAGCTGACTAGATAAGTGAGCAATGTGGAGGGTTTGGTGACACTTCTGGCCCCTTTCTAAAGCTTCTTTCTTTTCTGGAATTAGGAACAGATGGCAGACTAACAGGGGAAGAGACTACGAGAAAAGATAGTCAGAGTTTTTGAGCATTCGTGGAATCAGTTGAGTGAATATAGTGGAGATATTCCGCTGAAGCTTTATTTGCCACTCGAAACACAATAAATGAGTGATTATCGTTGTCGTTATTGTTATTATTTACAGAGGTGGCTAGCACTTCAGTTCTTTAGCCTTTTAAATAGTGACATTCTCATATTATCGCTGCAGATAGTCATCACTACAGTCGACTGTTTCGTTAGAAAAAATGACTGTTATTTCAATAGTATAAGAACTGATGCATTAATATTTAGTCTCCGGAGTCAGCAACTACTTGTCTTCCTATGAGATTAGCAGCTGATCACATCTACTCCTCGAAGACTAATAATAATATCTGGCTAGTCGTTCGGCGGTGGATTGAGCCACAGTTTCAGATGTCGGATACATTTAGGAAAGCATACATCGCAGTTAAAACACGAATTGGCGTTCTGAACAAATGTCAGTATCTGGAATTATTAAGTTTTATTTTTGATCATCCACTGGGACATACGACTTAAGCTGGTGTACATGTCTATTTCACCGTTTTCTCTGAGGTCCTATTATCTAGATCCACGATTGCCCATAAGCTTTTGTTTCCTCTTCATCTAATCTCCTCCACGTCACTCTTGGACACATGTCGAACTCATCGAGTTCTAGTGGGATCCCTCTAGACGGCCTGCCTCGTTGGTAGTATCACTCAACGATCTTCTCAGTGTACAACAATTTCCTTCTGTACACTTTTCACCCCATAGATTCTTGGTTGGTTCACTACTGATCATCCTTTCCGGTTGGCAGTCTGTATTCAGTATAATGTCAGAGAAGGTAACCGTTCGTGAAAGTCTGTAGTATTCTGTTGGAAACGCTCTGGGTGAACCAAGTAACAAATCCTTGAACCGCACTCAATGATTTGACATTAGTGTTAGACAGAATCCATATCTTTTTGATGGTGTTGTGTGTAGACCTCCAAAATGATATTAGAGTAATGAACGCATGTCTTGCTTTTCCTGTCTGTAACGTTACCTGTAGTTGAAACAGTGCTACCTAGGTCAGGTAAGTTACAGAGACAAATTCTTTTCATTTACTTAGGAACTTGAAAGAAGAAAATTAGGCGATTTCATAATCCCTCAGATTTAAGCACAGTAACTCAGATTAATTTCTTTATCATGAGTTACCTTATGCAGAAGACAGGATAGAAAAAGCAACACAGAACTTTACTCCTCTGAAATCAGTGTGAAAATCTTCTGCTTTCACCATAGGGAACAAAATCTGGATCTTCAGCAATAATATGGTTCAGAGAATTGGGACGCGGACCACCAAAAGCATATGCAACAGATTACTGGAGACTTTAATCAATAGCTAGCCGCCTACGATCAACAATGAAGATCATGTGGTCGACTAAAAAGACGAGCGACAAGGGACTCTGGGAATGGACCAACCAATGACCTATTGCCCAACATGTATGCAGAAGGAAATGGACTAAACATACGCTGAGGACACCGTTTGGTGACATCACGTTCCAGACCGTTCAGTGGAAGCTGGATGGAGTGCAACAAGTTGGAAGTAAGACCGAAAGTGATGTAGAAGAGATAATTTGAAGAGGAGAAGAAAGCTTTCAGAGAATCGTAGGGTCAACCAAAAATGACCGAGGAGAAGAGAGTGACATGCGGATGTGCACTGGCCGAAGTCCTATGTTGCCTACAGACACCCAAAGGAACAATAATAACAGTAATATAAATTTTGACGGTATAAGTCTAAGTCTACTTGGTAATCAAATTTAGAAAGACTCTACAATGTATTCAACAACAATATATACATATATGCATTAAAAATGAACTAAACACATAAATAGATGTATAAATATTTACATTATCATCAATGATTATTTAAAAATTTAAAAATCGCTGAAAAAAGATTGAATTTTGGTATGATATTAACATTTAGGTAATTCAAACAACAATACAGTGTCAGTCATATTGAAAATTCACTTAAATTTCATGTAACCACCTTTTATTTTTTGTCACTTGATATACGTTATTATTATTATTATTATTAATGTTATTTTTTCAAAGTCTATATAACTAGAAATGACAGGAAACGTATAACTGTCTAGTTCATAATAAAGTTCACTTGTAACTATGTATAAAGTCTGAGATTTAGTTCAGTCATAGCTTGTATATATATATAAAGCGAGTCTGTTGTGCAGTTGTTATTTTTTTTTCTAAAAAATTACAATATTATTCCCTTTCTATGGTAGATGTCACCACAAACTGACATTGGTGTAATTCTGAGAAGTTTCCTAGTAGATTTAAGCAGTTATCTAGTACTCTATGTTGGTTTGTGATTAGATTTAATTTGAAATCAATTAAATCAACGTATGTCCAACGAAGTGAAAACGAATTTACTGGTCATTAATGACTGAAAAAGAGATGGAATTCTTTAGGGTTGCTTAATAATAAGGTCAGCCAGCCATGAGGAGTGTGAGAACCTACTGCCTGAAACATATGCAGAAGAAAATGCAGATGGATAGATTGAACATTGAGCACTGAGAAGACCGCTGGGTGATATCATACACCAGGCAAGACCATAGGTGCCACCCGAGTGGTAAACAACAAGATGGGTGTGGGTCTAGATTTAAAATGGAGGAGGTGGCGTGAAATCTTATTAGGGGTAATCCTGGAGCTGCCTAATAGTGATTTTCAGAAAACCGAGTGAAATTGAGATGTACGTCGGCTGGAGGCATATGTCCCACTAGGAAATAATGTATTGAAATAGCGGAAACTTCATGTGAGTAATTTTAGTACCAGATATTTAAGATTCTTTGCGTAGAGAGAAATACATCAATAAATAAATAAAAGAATTTACCTTCGTGTCAGTTACATAATCACACTGTTTGCATCGTTGTAATTTAGGTCGTATTGATTTTATTGTTTTACCAGAGAAATTCTCCGGTGGTATATCAGAATGAAAATCTTTCAGATGACGTTTCAGTCGACCTTCAGTTCTTGAAGTGTAATCACACTTTAAACATTTATAATCATAATGTGACCGTAAATGATCTTGAAATTCTTGTCTACTGCCTCCTAGAAATTTTGAAAACACAAGAATAAATAAACATGAGTGAAACAGTTCGGTTCATTTGAGAAATATTCACTTTGCCGACACTAATTCTAAAATAAGAGAAACAAATGTTAATAAAATGGGACCTAATGAATTCGTCAAATTTCAGTAAGTCTCTTCACCTGAACACTTCACATGCAGTGATGTATATACACTGTGAAAAACACATTGGGAAAAGTATAACTGATAAGAAGATAACCTACAATGAATCAACAGTCATGCAAAACGGCAGGTGCAAATATGTTACTCGTGTCAAGTTTAGACAGATTAGGTAGGAAAGCAGTATGAGAAACTAAAGTTAAGTTTATAATGGATCGCGGTTCAGTCACTCCACTTAAATAAACAATTAGTTATCTAACAGACAGAGGACTTGAAAATATCGAGAAACACAAACTGAGTATCAGTAATTATTAATAATATGAATTGCATTCAGAAAATGGTACTGACAGAGGTCACTTTTGAATGAATCAAGAGTAGTGATAAGAGACATTGACAATAACAATAACAGTTAATAAACAGAAGATATTACCATGGCAGATTCAAAGTGATACCAGCATTTCCTTCTGTACGCAGAGACTGTGTGTTTCTAGACACTAATTGCACAAGCCTGCGGAAATGGAATCACCTTCGTGTTTATTTGCCTGCTGACAACAGCGAACGAGTCGACAGAGTCAATTAATATCATGTCCGTAGTCTATGAGATGTTTTGTTATTGAACCTTGTTATTGGCACCTCAATTTCAATTTGGCTGAGAAGCACTTACACAAATGCTGCATCATTCGGGTTGGCAATTGCCTTTCTGTGATACCTATGCACGTCTTTGCCTGCATAAACACAGTGTGGAATTGATAGAGACAGTTCTGATTGTTGAAAATTGGTGATCGATTTTACGTAGACTGTTGGAATACGTGTTTGATGGTGTTGAGGAAGAGAAACTTTGCGAGATGATATGTTCTCTTCATCGGCTTTATTAGGTCTTTGTTAAGGTGCTTCTTGTTTATTGTCTTCTTTGAATGGCGAAAAGATTATATGTAGAGGTTTCCTTGAAACGGTGTGAGTAGTTTTAATGGCTCTTACTCCTTTAGAATATTTTTTGTAAATAAATGTTGAGAGCCGGAGATCATCTTTATTAGATTTTTTTTCCTTCACGTTCCCCAGTGGAACATAGGGCTTCAAGCTGGTGGCTTGAATTTTCTGTAGCAGTGCTTATTTTACAGGATGGGGTTGCTAGCCTCATGCCCAACCTTTCCTCTTCACCAGCATTATTTCTGGCTCAAAGTGGTAAAGGAGTGCGTCCAGTGGCCGGGGATCGAACCCCGGACCATGTGCATGGTTGGCGAGCGTCCTTTATTAGATTAAGAAAAGCTTACTCAAAAAGCGACAAGTAGGCTTTTATCTTGTTCATCCCCCACCCCGCCGTAATTTCCCTCCATCATTCTGTGTAAGTTTGTGTGAACAGGTCTTTCAGCTCAGTCTGCAGACTGTCGGTAACCGACTCGAAGCCTACGATGATGCCTTTTTACAATACTTTAATTATCAGTAACAGTGCATGAGTTCAGCACCATCTCAGATAGTAGTACTGTGGTGAGAGCTGTCTACTAGCCAAATTGGTAGACAGTAATTTACGTCAATGTTTACGTTCTCAAGATTGGTCGTGAGAAAATATGAACAAAGACTGATTCAAAAACCGACCACAGCAGACTTTGCGTAGGCAGATACAGTTAACATATAGATGATCTGACATTCAAGAAACAGTCACAAAGAGATGAAAGATTAACTTTAAGTGAGAAACAACCAGTCAGAAGACTTGTTTACTTAACTAATCTATAATAATGTACATGAAAATATATAAATATGCTTTGATTTCCTTAATAAACGATCTGTTGCCTGGCCCTTGTCTTCTGTTGTTACAGTAGTAGTAGAATGGATGTGTGCCTTAATCGAGGCTTTGTGTTGTGGTCGGAAAGGAAGGCAAGTATAACAATAAAACAGATGTAATAAACATAAATTAGGGATGCAATATATTTTTATTTTCTTGTCTGAAGATTTTTACTTAGAAATACTCTGAAGGATAGAAAAAAATATGCTTCAGTTCCACATGGACCTACGTAAGCAAATTGTAGGCAGGCATGGGTGTGTTTGGTTCTCCTGAAAACCAATACCCAGTCAATGGGTGTATCACTGGGAGTACTGGACAGCTGTTTCGTCCTAGTTTGGGACACTTCATCAGTACGCACCCACCGGGGTTCGAACCCAGGACCTTCTGGTTACAAGGCGAGCTCGTATACCATTAAGCCACTGGGACCCGATCCAATGGCCCATGAATTCTAACTTCTGCCTACAATTTGCTTACGTAGGTCCATGTGGAACTGAAGCATATTTTTTTCTATCCTTCAGAGTATTTCTAAGTAAAAATCTTCAGACAAGAAAATAAAAATATATTGCATCCCTAATTTATGTTTATTACATCTGTTTTATTGTTGTACTTGCCTTCCTTTCCGACCACAACACAAAGCCTCGATTAAGGCACACATCCATTCTACTACTACTGTAACAACAGAAGACAAGGGCCAGGCAACAGATCGTTTATTAAGGAAATCAAAGCATATTTATATATTTTCATGTACATTATTATAGATTAGTTAAGTAAACAAGTCTTCTGACTGGTTGTTTCTCACTTAAAGTTAATCTTTCATCTCTTTGTGACTGTTTCTTGAATGTCAGATCATCTATATGTTAACTGTATCTGCCTACGCAAAGTCTGCTGTGGTCGGTTTTTGAATCAGTCTTTGTTCATATTTTCTCACGACCAATCTTGAGAACGTAAACATTGACGTAAATTACTGTCTACCAATTTGGCTAGTAGACAGCTCTCACCACAGTACTACTATCTGAGATGGTGCTGAACTCATGCACTGTTACTGATAATTAAAGTATTGTAAAAAGGCATCATCGTAGGCTTCGAGTCGGTTACCGACAGTCTGCAGACTGAGCTGAAAGACCTGTTCACACAAACTTACACAGAATGATGGAGGGAAATTACGGCGGGGTGGGGGATGAACAAGATAAAAGCCTACTTGTCGCTTTTTGAGTAAGCTTTTCTTAATCTAATAAAGGACGCTCGCCAACCATGCACATGGTCCGGGGTTCGATCCCCGGCCACTGGACGCACTCCTTTACCACTTTGAGCCAGAAATAATGCTGGTGAAGAGGAAAGGTTGGGCATGAGGCTAGCAACCCCATCCTGTAAAATAAGCACTGCTACAGAAAATTCAAGCCACCAGCTTGAAGCCCTATGTTCCACTGGGGAACGTGAAGGAAAAAAATAGGTAGTCACAAATTTGGCATCATTTTTCCTATTCATATTATGCCTAACTTCAAAACCTTTAATTGTTTTATTGTGGTTTTCAATGGATAACATAATTTAATAACTACTTCAGTGTAAGTATATTGTGTTATTATAAGTAGTCTTAAACAACTCGATATGAACTTCTGTATGATTCAAAGAACTAGTGACCAGGTCGTCAAAAAGCTGTTGCATCATCGCCTGTCTTCAAGATAATCAACAGAGAACTCTGGCAGCAAACCAGTCAACAGCCTACTGTTTCCCAGTGAATCTTCAGGAGGAAGCCAATGAATTGGGTGTATGCAGTGACTAGACATTGAAATGACATTATACGCCAAGGATGCTTTCAGTATGAACCTGAACACTTTCCATCAGGCTATTATATCTTCTCTTTGCCATCTGGCCTGAGCTGGCAAAGAAATCAGGAGACTAGTTTAGCTCCTAGATAGAAAGCTGGTGTACGTGGCAGTTAGACTGTTAATCCACCATGTTCTGTGATCACGGTTTACTTCCGTAAAGGTTATCCGAGTAGTACCATCTCTGACTTCGGAATTGGGTGTTGTGGGTCCAAGTCTCAGAGAAAATGCTAAATCCTTCAGGGCTATAGACACCTCTTTCTTATAGGCACAGAAATCACGAGACCTTGATCAGCTATGGCTTCCTACCATTTGGTTTCAACCATGTGACAAAGACCACCTTACTAACCGAAAACTCTCCGAGGTATTCTAATTTAAGAGGAACAGCCGAATCATTTTAAACTACCCGATTTCTGACTAACCAATTGAGAGAAGCTGTAATACATCAAATTGAATTCGCAGTCTGTAAATTAATCCATGGTCCAGTGTTTAGATCACTTTGATGACCTGGCTAGCAAGCATTACTGATTATTCTGAGTGGTGTGCAACTACTTATATCATTCTGTCAGTAGTATGTGAATGACACCGTGCATTTATGCTTGCTTTCAACATTGAACTTTGTATTTCAGTGTAGCACTTTAATTAACCACACTTCACTCATAAAAGCAAATATAATACCAAAGGAACAATAATTATTACGAGGAATAATGCGAATTTAATGAATCCGGGGAAAGATCAGAAAGAGGACAACTATTCTGAGCCATATCATCAACAGTCCATAGTCACTAATTTTCGGAATTTTCCTTGTCTTGTAATCAGAAGGCCCTGGGTTCGAACTCCTGTGGGTGGATACTTCTGAAGAGTACCAAACTAAGATGAAACAGCTATCCAATACTCCCAGGTGGTTTTCCAATGCTTCTCTAAATGATGTCAGCTCATGATGAAATCCTCCACCTAAGTTAATTTGAGTCAAAACATCAATCAGAGGAGCAAACAAAGTCGAGCCAAACAAAACAAACAGCCACCAGCCGCTGCATAAGTACTAGCTCTTGTGAACCATATGGTTTCATGGAAAGTGCTGCGACGTGAGTCTCTGTGGAAACACCATCACCCACTTATTCACCCAATAGGGATTGCAGGTAGATCCAGTGACGAGTCCCAAATGGGGCGAAATGCATATCCTGGATTTTACTGCTGGTCACCAATTACTAAATACACAGATGTCATACAAGAAGACCAATAAAATTTCCATTTACCCCTA